TTTACTCGAGCCATAAACACAAGGAAATGCGGAAGAGAAATTTCGTTTCAATTTGCTGCCATAAAGAAAAAAAAAAAATTATGGTCAGATTTTTTCATACGTCATTCATCGTATGTGCATACGTATTCCATAGAGAACATTTTTCTTCTTCTACAAGTCGAAAGGGATAATCTCTTCTTACTAATCTCTGTCTGATTGGAATTTCGTTCCATATAATTAGCTTTCTGCGCAAAACCTCGTAATTTGGGAAATTGAGGTATAGGGTTCAATCACCTGTCTCTTTCATCGTCGTTAAATTCCCAATTCTCTGTGTCTTCCCCAGATTTTTGATGCTTATTGAGATGAAATTGAATTCTGCGCTTGAAGTTTTGAATTCATATATAGAATTGCAATTGTACTGATCGATCCAAATATCCCGATCTTCAGATTCCTTGTCCATGGCTGTTGGCGAGTTTTCTCATCGAATGGAAGATTCTGGAAGAACAATCAGAGTTTCGGTTATGTGGAAGGGAAACAATTACACGGTGGAGATCGATTCCGAGTCTTGTCTGAAGGATTTAGGTTCTGAATTGAGAAAGTTGACAGGAGTTATGTCTGAGACACTTCGTTTGATCGTTCCTCGTTTGAATGAAAAAGGTTCAAGATTGTTATTTCCTTTCTCTGATGAGCACTCGGGTTTAAGCTTGCACGAAGCTTCCATAATTGAGGTTAGTCTCTTCGAATTGTTGATCCTGAAAATGTTGTAAGAGAGTGCTTGATTGTAATAGTTGATAGTAGGCGGAAAATCGATGACTTGGTTTATGAATTTTGTCTCACAAATGTGTTGTGTTTGGTTTCTTGGATTTAAATTCTTCTTCTTGGTACTTTATGTTCTATTTTAGGATAAAACTATTAGAATGATGGGAGTGTCTGAAGAAGAGGTGGGTGGAGTTTTAACAGATGCAATGCTTGACATGAGGATACTTGGCTTCGAGGAAGAGGAGACAAGGCTTAGACAAAAGAAGTTGTATCATTCGAGCAATTCAATCAAGCTTCCACAGGGACCTTACGTCTTCTGTAATTTCCGCACTCTTCAAATCCCGGGAATAGAGGTAATTCATTGAATTGCCATTGTCTAAGATTTATACTTTGCGTTCTTGTAGTCAAATGTTAACGTAGCCGTCTTTCTTTCTCTTGAAATTAGAAGGTAGATGAAGTCATGTTAGACTTTGGTTTGTCCACTCTTCTTGTTATTTTGTCTCTAATGCCATAACATTACTAGCAGTATGAATACAATGAACTTATATTCTGAGAATTTGGCTGATAAAGTGACTCGAGATGTTTGTTCCTGCAGTTAAACCCTCCCCCTTCTGCTGCTTTAAAGAGAATGCACATGCTTGCAGCAGACCCTGGAATTATCGCTATTATGAACAAGGTTTTTATTTAAATTATGAGAAACTTATCATGCATTGCAACCATCGGCATATTGATAATGTACCAAATCGGTTTCGTTTTATATTTGTAGCATCGTTGGAGAGTAAGAATCATGACAGAACTCGCCCCAGTTGGTTATGTTGGTGTTAGCCCGCAGTGCCTTCTAGGCTTTAACAAGGTATACATGTTTTGCTTGTAAGACACAATAAATTCTTGTTTTCTTTAGTCTGTTCTGATTTTGATTTTCTGAAGTATTTTGCATTTTGTGGTGTAGAATCAAGGAGAAGAGATATCTCTACGTCTTCGGACTGATGATCTCAAGGGATTCAGAAAGTATGCGAGCATCAAAAAGACTCTATTGCATGAGCTTGTAAGTTGATTACTCGGCAAATTGATTTCTTATCATCGAAAACTCTGAAAATTTCTGCACAAGTTTGGTTTGAGAGCTAATGTTCTCTGAATCAAAATTTCAGGCTCACATGGTATACTCGGAGCATGATGAAAACTTTTATGCTCTTGACAGACAGGTAATAGGTGTAGACACTTGTTTCTGTTATCTTAATTTCATTTTGGTGGTGATTTTACAAATGAGTTTTTGTGTGGCAGTTGAACAAAGAAGCTGAAAGCTTAGATTGGACTAAATCAAGCGGTCACACATTGAATGGATCGAAAATTATGAATGACTATGAGGAAGACTACTTCTTTGATGAAAATGAAAATGAAATAATTTCTCAGAGGCTTGGTGGAAATCAATTTGATAACCTGGGAAATGCTCGTGAATCGTCTGTTGCTGCTGCTTATCGCCGTCTCTCCCACACAAGTGGAACCAATGACGTTGGTGTTTCAAAACTCGGCGAAGAACCTGACCCTGATGACATGGTTGATGTTTGTCATGAGACTAAGCAACCAACTTTTCCCAAATCTCAGTCTGATTCTTCGAGTAAATTTGAGCCTGACCCTGACGATACCACTGAAGATTGTGCACCAGAACATCATTCGGAAGCAATGGAAATCACTACTGATCTCGCCCATCCTGCTGAAGATGATGATGAACCTGATCCGGATGACTTAGAAACACGCACAAGTATTGGGGAAGTTGAAAATACAAAAATATCAAATGACACTGTAATGTCGGATGGGAATCTGAAGATACCTCGTGGAGAACCCAATGCAGATGAAACTATGCAGGCTACACCTGATCCTAATAATGCAGAGCCTTATCCCAACAATAACCTGGTGGTCACAGGGAGGGAAACAGTCATTGAGGTTTATGAGCCCGATCCAGATGATCATGAGATTCAGAGAATCCAAGACTCTGTTACAATCATCTCTAACCGTCTCAAGAAAGCCATAAATGCGTTGCAAACTGAAGCAAGCAATGTGCTACAAATGCTTCTCAAAATAGTGAGGTACCTTGTCAGCTCCTAGGAACTTAGAAGTGTGTCTGCAGATGTAATGTAAGTCGAGTGTTGTGTGACTGACGATACACTTTTTTCTTTTGGTGATCCAGGAACATCATTGCACAACCGAATGAAATGAAATTCAAGAGGCTGCGTAAGGTGTGGACTCATTAGGCCCCTGATTTAATATATAGTTTGTTTCTTTGAGTTATTATATCGAGTGTCTGATCTATTCAACTACATGACTGCCATTTCAGGGAAATCCTGCAATTCAGCGCAACATTCTCAGATATGCAGGTTTGTCTTTTTCCATCTTCTCGTAACACATTG